TTTTTTTTCAGCTTTAATTGAGTTTATTGGTACATTTTAGGGATACAGTACAGTTACATTCATTGTTGGGATCTTGTACCTCTACATGACAAGTCTTGATCCTCATTTTTTCTCCTTGTCCCTGCCCTCCCTTCACCCCCTCCTCCCCTCCCCATCTACAAACACTTTATTTTCACCTTTTCATTATCTCACATTGTTTTCTTTTCCCTTATTACCCTTCCCCTACCCGTCCCACCTTCCCTACGCCTTTAGCTCCTTTCTTCCCATTTATAAATGTCAGTTGTGAAAATATTAAGACAAAGACAATATAACTATGGTGAGCATGAAAATTTACTCCATAAAATTCTATGTGACAATAGGCTAGGAAATCAAAGGTTAAGGCCAGGTGTGGTGGTGCACACCTGTAATCCCTGCACTCAGGAGGCTGAGGCAGGAGGATCGCTGTAAGTTCAAGACCAGTCTGGGCTACATAGTGAGTTCCAGGTCAGTCTCAACGACATAGTGAGACCCTGCCTCAAAAAAAGACAAAAACAAAAACAAAATAAAACAAAAAAACCAAACTGGCCTTGAATTCACTATGTAGCCCATGCTGGCCTCAAACTCGAAGCAATCCTCCTGCCTCAGCCTCCCAAGTGCTGGGTTATAGGTGTACACCCATGCCTGGTTTAATTCCTTATTACCGTTCTGGAAATTCTGGTGGCCACCCATCTCTAGCCATCTCCCTGAACTGCCCTCAGCAATTACAAAGGTCTTCTGTTCCATGGATACCATAATGGAGATGGGGTGGGTAAAACTCAGTGCTGGGCTGTGTGCTGGAAATGTATTCTCCCTTCCACTAGCTGTCCAACCTGTCTTCTACTTCTTCCACAAAAAAACCTGAATTGTAACAGATGTAAATGGTTCAAGGGACCGGAAAGTACCTAATATAGAACATCTGGGTTATCAAATCAGAAATCAGAAATTGCTGCTGGGCATGGTGGTGTATACCTACAATTTCAACACTCAAATAAGAAAGAAAGAAAAAGAAATCACTACTCTCTTTTGGGAGTCAGATTTGTTTTTTTAGAGACAGGGTCTCACTATGTAGTTCAGGCTAGTCTTCAACTCATTATGTAGCCCGGGCTGCTATGGAACTCAAGGGGATCCTCCTGCCTCAGCCTCCTGAATGCTGGAATTACAAGGCATGCCCCACCGCGACTGGCTTGCCTCCACATCTGCTTCATTCATCTCTTAGCTCCAGATATATTCCTCAGATGTGTTCTTAGGGAAATGATAACTTTGGCTGGGAAGTATGAGGCTAAAGAAGGTAAAGGGTGTATGTGTGACTCCTCTGGCTTTCTCTTCTTCCCCCTCCACCAACGAGCCAATCTCTCCCTGCCCTCCTTAGACCAAGCTCATTAGCTGCTGCACACACAGATGTTTATTGTCTCCTTGTGTCCCTGGTGATAAAGGTGCAGGGCCAGGGCACGAGTAGGCAAAGACGAGGCTCCTGTCTACTTGCTGCTCTTCTTATCGTAGGTGCCAGTGCCCTTGTAGCCACTCACATAGCCCGAGCTGTCGGCCTTGTCTTCCCGTCCTTCGATGCCCTTGCCCTTCCCAGTCTGGTCGAAGCGCTCCTTGTGGGTGCCCGTGTACTTACTGGTGTCCGTCAGACGGTCCACTGCACCCGCTGTTGTTGGTTTCTGCAAGCCAGAGGAGCGGTCAGGCCCCCTCAGCCCATCCCCAGAGATGGCCTTAGGCCCTCACAGCAAGTGCCCTGAGCTCTTCTCTGCCTCGGCCTAGTGCTGCTTCCCATGGGCCTGAGTGCAGCAGAGGGCAGGAGCTCTGGCAAGAGCCCTCCACGCTGAGGGGGAGGAATCTGGAGTGGGAATGTGTGCGGTGCTTAGGGAGGGAGGGTGGATGTTTCTGTTTTCAGAGTAGTCATCCTGGCTACGCTGCTACCCAAGAACGTCCGACCCAAACCCAATGCACACGGTAGAAAGGCCTTTTTGTACAAGGGGCCCTCAAGGAAGAGGGTGGGTGAAAGGTCTCAGATTAAATTTAAAGAGCAGAAAAGGACTGGGATTAGTCTTTGATGCTGATGTCATCCCAAACTCACCAGGCTCCAGACACCTGGGTCAGATTCTGGAGACTGGGAATGAGCCTAACTAAATTCTACCATTAAAATAGCCTCACTGCAGCCAGGGGTGTCACCCGGCACTCCTCCCCCACGCCGCTGGGTGCCCTGGGCCACAGTTTCCTCCCTCCTGGATGACCGCACGGTCTCTACAGTCTGCTCTGGTACCGACGGTGCAGGCCTTCTGCCCCGTCATCGGCTGAAGTCACGCTGTTGGCAGGGTCACACACGGGAAGAGGAGGGGAGACTAGAGCCCCAGGGACTTGGACCAGCGGGGTCAGGAGCAGGGCCGAAGGATGGCACTCACAGTAACACCAGTGGTGGCTGGTTCCTTGCCTTCCATGAGCTTAAAAATTTCTGCCAAGGCTTCATCTGGGTTCTTCCCTTTGAACCGCATCTGGCCCAATTCCTTCATTGCTTCTTGGAACTGCTGAAATGTGATGGTTCGGGCATTCTTGGCCCTGGCCATTTAGAAACACAGGAATTAGAACCATGAACCCACAGTCTTGCAAGGTCAGACCTGTCCCTTTCTCTGACTTGGCCTCGTCGGTCCTGTCACGGAAAGTCTCGGGGACAGAGAGGCCCACTGTGGACACTCCGCACAGGAGCCCTGCTGGTCCCACCCCCGCCTGAGATGCCTTACTTCACTTTGCTAAATACGATGTCCACAGAATTGGAGGTGACCGTCTTGCCGTCCATGATGTTACAGTCTTTACACAGCTTGGAGAAGTTCTTGTTGTTCATCTCGGAGCCGCTGCTGGCTGTGTCTCCGAAGGCAGCAAATCGATGGAACGTTTTCTCTGCTTCTGATGCCATGGTCAGCTGGAGGTGCCCGGAGTCTGAGGGTGGGGGGACAGGGGCGGGAAGGTGAGTTATGACAGAGCCAATGGCAGGAACAATTCCCTTCTTCCCTGCTGTCCTCTCTCTTCCTTCCCTTGTTCGTTCCATCCCTGCTGGAGCTACAGCCTGCAACCTCTTCGCAGCACCATGGGTCCTATAGTATTAAGTCCTTAATGATTAAGTCCCCCTTCCCCACCACTCCCGTTACCTAGGAGCGCCCAGATGGGGTCTGACCCTGCCCTGCCTGAGCGCACGCGGGAGTGCAGGTGTGCGGGAGCCGGCTGGTGTGAGGAGACAGAAAGGGGCAGCGTTTGTGACATCATTCCTTGCTCCAGCTGTACCTTTGTCCTCAAGGGAGGGGCTTTGGTCTCTACCCTTGCATGTTGCATTCAGCAAGTTGACAACCTTCTGTCCTCTCCAGGTAAACTTTCCTCATCCTCCTATCCAGTTCACCAGTCTTCTGAGTCCTGGCCACACTGTGTGTTATGCTCTGCCTCACAACAAAAGCTAGGCAGAGCCCAGGGAAGGTGTCAGTCTGTTCAGGCAACGGTAGAAAAATATCTTAAATGACACGGCTTACAAACAACAGGATTTTTTTTCTCATGGTTCTGGACGCTGGGAGTTCTATGGCCAAGGCGTCAGTAAATTCGGTGTTTGGTAGAGGGTTGGTAAATGCTGTGTCCTGACATGGTGGTAAAGGGGGCAAAAGAGCTCCCTTGGGCCTATCCACCAGTCCTCTTCACAAAGCTTCTGTACTCATGAAACCTGCTCAGGACTCTCCAAAGACCCCTCCTCCTCATACCTTCACTGTGGGAGTTGGGATTTTAATATGCAAACTTGGGGTGGGGGGGCCCTTCAGACCATGGAAGATGGAATAAATGGAGACAAGTTGGCTTCAATCCATTGCTCTTCTGCATAGCCTCCAGGTTCAGGCTGACTCACCAGCATGGAGAATCTCACTGGCGTTAGGTCAGCTTCAACAGGAACTTTAAAGGGCTACCCGTAAGGAAGGAGCAGGGGTCTGAGTATCACAGATCCAGGTTGGTCAGTGTAAAACTGTTGGGGTGAGGTGAGTCTCAGACTTTGAAAATTCTCGAGTTTCTGCGCAGGTCAAAAATGTTCCTCATATGTTTCTCTTTGCGCCCCTCCCCCTGGTGAGATAGGGGTCCTAAAACAGAAACAGAACAGCTAGTTTGGCGACTTTCCTCCTCCTCTCATCTGATCTGTCACAAATTTCTACAACTTTTTGAATCTTAAAAAAAGCCATTCTTTTCTTTCCATTCCCATTACTTCCACCTTTATTCAAGTCCTTTTCACATCAGATCTGCCTCTAAATGACCTCTAATGGCTTCTACATGACCTCTTTCCTAAATCTAAAAACATCACTCCTACCTACTCCTTTACCTAACTCCATTACCCTCTCTCATCAGATTAATGTTCCCAGCCTGTTCAGGAGCATGTTATGGCTCAGGCATAGATGATGGATTTTTCACTGCCCAATCTTTTTGTCCAGCGTTCAAGTACCTGCACAACACAGGCCCAGGGTATTTTAGCATGTGTCACCTCCGCTCATCTATATCTGCTGGAGTCATAACGGCCTAATCATTTCGTACCTGAGAGGCTGGTTGTGGAGAGCATGCAAGGTCTTTGGAGTGGAGCAAATCTTCCTGGGGAAGGCAGGTGTGAGTCACTATCTCTGAGCTTCCGTCTCTTCCTCCTCCTCCAAATAGTAAGGATGTGATACATGGGGGAGAAGTGCCTCGTGCATAGTAGCTACGCTTTAATTGTACAAATAACTTGTGTATTACTATCTCCCTCGTGCTCTCTGCCTGGATGGAATGCCCCTCTCCCAGTCAAATGTCCCATGGTTGCACTTTTTTTCCATTTCCTAGAAACAAAGGCCGTTTCCTCCTCTGAATTATGGTAAAATAATGGCTCCTAGACTGTAGGCTGCAGGTCTGGGGTGAGAGTTTCTGAAGCACTGAGAGGGATCTATACAAGGAAGACTAAGCTGTGACTTGCATACACAGGCATTGTTACCTCTGCAGGTACTGTGATTATCAGAACGCTGTAGAAAATTTCTTGAAACCACTGAATTTATGTATTTTCCCTATCGAAAGGATACTAAGACCATTACATGGAAATGGAACTCTCTGATGTCCCATTTAAGAAGAGTGGGAAACTACTGGCTCAGGATGTCTTCTCTAAACAACTGATCTTTATATAACTTCCCCTAACCTTTTCTGTGTTTATACCTTCCCGTGACTACTGGGCCATAAACTTGTAGAGAAGGTGTGACCAGACTTCCTGCTTTACATGGCATCTATACAGTGGTTTACACATAGCAGGTACTTAAACTGCTGTTTAGTCGGAGGTATAGTTTGGAAGTGCTTCTGGCTCAGAGAAAGGGTTGGGGGAGGGGCAGAGAGAGGGAGAGAGAAAAAGAAGAGGGCATTCATTATACCCAGGTCTGGCTCAAAGCTGCCCTGACAGGAAAGAATACTATTCTGAGGCAGAACCAGCCTTACTTTGGTCTGCAGCAGGCTGAGGGGGACCCCTGGGTCTAGGAAGCAAACACATCTCAGTGGGAATTTCCCACCTCCTGCTTGCCCCAAGCCCCTGAGCAGGCCCCTTATCAGGTTCCCCCTGAGTCATCCTGACCCAGAGACGAATTTAGATGCTGGAACTTTCAGGTCTTTCCCTCCCCCACTCCAAGTAAGACTGCTTTAGACACATCAAGAAAGCCTGCAGCCAAAGTTCTCTGTAGGTTCTCTTTCACCCCAACTTCCTCCAGGTCTCTCTCTCCTGTCCTAGGCACTGGTAGCTAGGACCCTAATTCCAGAAGGCTTTTCAGTGTCTAGGAGAATGTTAGGACCACGCCCAGAGAGGTGAGAGGGTTAGGCTGGGAGACCGAGCACCGAGCTTCTACTCCAGTTTATTGGGAAATAGTTATGAAGGAAGGGAGCAGGGGACAGAGGGAAACTCGGGTGCTCCGGATTGGAGGATACAAAAAATCCCCTAGATTTAGGGTTGCTGAAGGTTGGGTTTGAGCCTACACAGTTCTACTCTGGGTCCCCTCCTCCCTTTTGGCCTCTCCTTCTTTCCAATGGACCTGCCAAGTGGGGATGAAAGGGGCATTGATGCCCCTTGGATGGGGGGTGTGCGGGTGGTGGTGGGAGGGTGGTTCCCAGGCAGGAGCGGGGAGGGCGGTTTGGGGGTCTTGGGGAGCCGTCTGTGCTGGTGTTGCAGTTGGCAGCTCGAGTTCCATTGGCCATTGTTCCCAACTGGCCTGGCGCCCAGCCCCCGAAATGGCAACTCAGGAACCAGGCTGAAGCGGGGAGGGGGCGGGGATGATCACTCGAGGGGGGTAGGTAGGGAGGAAATTCAATCTGGTGCCCTTTTACCTGCGACCACTCTGAATTCCCTTAGTGTTAACATCAACGATCCTATTCCGGGCCCTTCCCCTGAGGGGCACAGACTGGGTGCCGCGGGTGTGCAGCAGTGAGGAAGTCTAGGATGGCAAACCCACCCAGGCACCATGAGAGGCACCGCCGCCTGGGCAGGGCGATCTAGCCAGTCTGAGCTAGTCTCGCTCTCCTTTTCGGGCCCGGGCTGGGAGGGGTTAGTGCCGAAGCCACAGGGTCTCTTGGGTCCCAGCCCGGGACACAACGTCCTCCCCAAGCCCCTACCCCACCCTAGCAGGGCTAACCCCGCCCCCGCGCCTGTTTACCCAGGAGTCAGGCCGTTTGGGGGGTCCCCGGCCCCTCCCTCCACCCTCCTCGGTGAGGGCCTGACCCGGGAGTCCCCGTGGGCCATGCTCTCCCCCCTCCGGCGATCGCCCTCTATTTATAGAGGCCCCCCGCGTTCCCCGCCCCCCCTCCTGTTGTCCAACTTCTCCGGGAGCAGGCGGAGAGCGGGCGTCGGGACTCTGCAGAGAGAGGAGGTACCAGGACCTGGGCGCCCGGGAGTCGAAATTCCTGTGCCCTCGACACCCCCAACCCCACGCGGGGCTGACCGGCGAGACCCCAGCTTGCTCGGAGGGAGCCTCGTTCCCCTCCTCCTCCTGACTCTGTTTCCGGACCCGCGGAGTTGAATCGTGGGGTGTCAGTACCGTGGGAGTCTCCCCTCTGCCGACCCCACCACTGAGTCAGGGGGCGAAGGAAGGGGCCAGGGTGCGACAGGCAGATCTGGGTCCTGGGAAGAGGCGGTTTTACAGGAGGGCGTGGGGCTCCCTAGCAGGGCTGAGGGGTCCCCTCGCACACTCCCTGCCTGCCCCGCTGGGGCGCGTTGCGGGGAGCTCACGCAGGGCCTGGGCGCACCCCGCATTCTGCTTTCCGCGAGAGCC